TAGATAGATAGATAGATAGATAGATAGATAGATAGATAGATAGATAGATAGATAGATGATAGAACAAAACATCAGTAATAGACTCTGTTACATGGATTTATACAATCTGTAGAGAAACACGGATGTATATGATTAATCCCGAAAGGATAAGACCAGTGGTGGGATTCAGCCAGTTCACACCACTTTGGGAGAACCGGTCGTTAACTTTCTGAGCAGTTTGGTGAACTGGTGGTTGGAAGAAATCATTAGGGCAGAGAACCTGTTGTTAAATTATTTGAAACCCACCACTGGATAAGACCAGTTCAGTGCAGCACAGTTGGGCTCACAAATTCCAATGGAGAAGTAAACAAATGAACAAATAATTATAACTGAAATCCAGAATGCCAGTATCCCTCTTCTTTTGCTTAGAGGCCAAGTTAATATGCTTCATAAACACATAAAATACTGTAGTAAATGAAAAGCCTGTAACTTCCCATTAACACAGCACTCCAGTATAAGCAGTACTATTTGTAGAAGGGCCGCAAGAGCTGTCTCGCTTCCTTTCTTTGGTGCCCTTCTTTTGTCAATACAAGCCCTGTGAGCAAATAGCAGCCTTTGTGATTTCCTTCATTAGAAGGCATGTTAAAAAATGCACCCTTGTATCTCTGACATTTGAACAAGGTTGGCAAACAGTAATACCCTCTCTCTCCCCATCTTGGGTATCTTTCACAAAGAGCTGTTCCTGATTGCTCTTTCATAAGATGGGAGTAGAAGAACTTTTATGGCAACCAGGCATGAAACCCAAACCATTTATTCATATCCTGATTGAGCTACTCACAAATGGTGAGTTTGCCTTATTGTTCTATCCCATCAGAAAACCATAGAGTAACGACAGTATATATCCCAAATCATGCAGTAAATTTCAAGTGACATTGAGACTCCAACACGGTCTAAACTAGGTTGGTTATTTGGGGGTCTTTTGAGCAATCCCCACAGATGCTGTTATTCTGCTTCCCTGTTCTATTGTGGTGCTGATTTTCAAAATTATAATTGTAATAAATTTAGAATTCAAATTATGTTACTCCTGAGAAACACCATAAAAAGAATTAATTATGGCCAATTTAGAATCCCATCAACAAAAATAAGATTGAGATAGGCTGGGCTATACAAATACTCCTTATGAACTCTAAAAGCAATTTATTTGAAGGACAGTATCTAAATGTAAGGGAGGCAATAGCTCAATGGCTAAGATACTGAGCTTGTTGATCAGAAGGTTGGCAATTCAGCGGTTCAAATCCCTAGCACCACGTAACGGAGTGGGCTCCTTGTCCCAGTTTCTGCCAACCTAGCAGTTCGAAAGCATGTAAAAAATGCAAGTAGAAAAATAAGGACCACTTTGGTGGGAAGGTAATAGCGTTCTGTGCGCCTTCGGCATTTAGTCATGCCAGCCACATGACCACAGAGACATCTTTGGACAGCGCTAGCTTTTCGGCTTAGAAACAGAGATAAGCACCGCCCCTAGAGCTACAAACAACTAGCACGCGTGTGCGGGGGAACCTTTACCTTTAACTGTATTCATTAAAAGCTAATAGCATGCAATATATTCTAGTAAAGTGTTGCCCATGTATTCTTTGTATTGGTTCAGATTCCACACCAAGAGAATGGCTGGGAAGTCTGGTTGGGTTTTTTACTGGCATAGAAGCATCTCAACAATTCAGGCCCATGTCTTCTTTTTAGGGAGAATCCCTCCAAAAAAGACATCCGGCAAGGGTTTCAAAGAGTTCTCTATAATATGGGGGGTTCCATTCTATACCCTACAATGGACATCTCTGCATTTGCGTAGTGGCAGTGGTAGAAGATATGGCTCATATCCTATTTGATTGTTTCCTGTATAAGAGGGTGAGAGACAAGTACCTTGGTCTATATGCTAAACAAATGACCCATTGGAATCCCCATATCAAAACAACTTACCTTATGTGCAGCCAGAATCGGAAAATAACATTTAACACAGCACAGTACTTAAGCAAAATGGTTTGGTTGAGATCAGCATATGGGGGACTGATTGGGGTAGATTGTAGGGGTGACATCAAAATATAATTTTATCATATTTCATTTATCTATATATTAAAATATTGTACTTTATTCTAATTTCATTTTAAACTGTATTTTATTCCAATTTGATTTTAAATTATACTTTATCCAATTCCATTTTAAATTGTTTTTATCAGATTTTAGTAATAATTTATATCTGGAACTCTGTTCTTTGATGCGGCCCAAGGGCTAACCAATAAAGTAAACTAAACAATAAGGTTTATATGGCAGCCAAAAGAAAAGACAGGGAAGTTCTCCAGAACTACCACCCAGATCCAAAGCCTACATAAAGTTTGTACTTCAATTACCCAGTTCGCTCATCAAACCCCTTAAAATATCATTTAAGGAGGAGGGACACTGAAACTATTTAAGAGGAAATAGCATGTTTTTCTATCCCTTTCAAAGATATCTTATTCTGAGAGACTGCCTGGACCAGTCTCTACAGTTTCCTTTGCAAGGTTTTCAGAAATAGTTTTCCATTGTCTTCTTCCTAGGGCTGAGAGAGAATGACTGGCACCAGGTCATTGAGCTGACTTGTGCCTAAGGGAGGATTAGAACCCATTGTATCTGGGTTTCTAACCTCGTGTCTTAAACACTTCACCAAACTGATTCTGGTCTCAATAGCAAAGGAACCAAAAGAGTACCATACCTCTCTTAACCTCTATCGGGGTGGGGTATACAACAACAATACTGAATATCCAAATAAATAAATAAATAACATACAGAGGGAACAGATTCAGAAAACACCCCAGAACAACTCATAGAGAAATGAGCATAGTCAGAGACTATAGAAAAATTAAATAACTGTAGATCAGATGGGAATGATGGAGCTGAATGGAAGGTCACAGAAATTAACATGCTGTACATTCATTCCTCGTTTTCCTTGGGTTTTATGTTCTTGAAAATCTGCCACAAAATAATGTGATTATTGAAGTGTTAACCTTCATGAGAACACATGACTTATTATTAGAATGATGTGGAGATTTGTTAACACAGCAAACATGCAAGAACCAGAATGTGGTTTCCATTATACTGAAGCTGTACACTAGGGCTCTTTAGTTCTTGACTGCATATGGCTGTGCTTAGATGCATGTAACCCATATTTTATTAAAAATGGGCTACGCATTTACAGAAACTGG